GATGAATTGTCCAAGGTTCCATGGAAACTGAGTTACTGTGTAACTCCGGTGTTCTCTCCCATACTCTGACTGTGCTCTCATTTGCAGTCTTAATATTTAGCTTTTAGTGTGCCTTATCCTCCAGTAAGCATTTAAGAAAGAGCAAGATAGCTAAAGTGCATTTGTTACTGATATTCTTTTACTAGTGATGGTTATTCTCAGACTTTTCTGTGTTGCTTTTCTTGAAGAATTTCCCATGAAGCATGTGAATGTCCAGCCTTATACCCTTCTTGGCACAAACATGAGCCTTATTTATTTACTCAGAGAGAATATGCAAAAAGATGTTCCTTTAAGGTGGGGACAGAAGGGATTGAATAAAGAAATATCAATATGAAGAAGTGCAACTGTTTCCTGAACACCTCTAATCTATTATTCAAAAAAAGAACTTCTTGCAGGTTGACATGACTGGGACACAAGCAAAAGGAGACACTTCAGAAACAAACGAAGGGAAGAGCTTAAACTGTGATAGTCTGTCACGGAGGTCTTTCACAGCAGAAGGAAACAAGCTATCAAGATTATCATCAGGCAAGAAATTGGTGCAACTGTAGAAAACATCTCGGATTGCATCACTACTACTCAGTCCTGGCTGACAACAGTATCTTCACTGAATGAGATGTCTTAGCTTTAAGGAAACTTCTGGGTGCATTCCTCCCATTGTGGGGTTCCTTTCCGAAGGCTTGAGGTGGATAGGGAAGGGGTTACTCCAGCTCCAGGGGTTTCTTCAGGGTCCTGAACGCATGGAGGGGTTAGGTGCTCACCCCTCCCCCCACCCACGCAGTCCCATGGCAGCCGGAGAGACAGCACACGGGACTTGGAGAGGAGGTGAGAGAGTTTATTGATGAGGCAGTTACATATATAGGTCTTGGAGGATTCACAGAGTGACCAATTACGGGGTCAGGGGGCTTACAGGACACCCAACCGCAGGAAGGGGTTAAAAGGTCCAATGAGAAGACTTCTTGATATCTTCTCAGGACATTCCTGAGACAGAGAAAAGAACTGGCCATGGGGGATTTTGGGAAGAAGAAAGCATGAGCCAGGGACCAGAAAAAGCCATTTTGAAACACACTCAAACCACAGCTTTCCATACAAGGTAGATTCACTGCTACAGAAACTACAGTGTTTAGCAGCCACAGACAATCTGCCCAGATCACTTAACTGAAATGCCAGTGAAGCCATTTGACAGAGAAAGATGTTTGAGGATCTAGTGATCCAATCAGTTAATACTCTCCATTTATTTGCTAGCTACAGGTGCAGAATTTTTTCCTACCTTGAGCCTCTCTCCTTTGATCATTACTGACCTCCTATACATTAGCTTCAATATATTCATGACTAGTCTATGCTTCTTGGATTTATCATGTTCTATCTTTAATATCTTCAAAGCAAAAATGTTTTCAAGACCTCATTTGTTTCCATGATAAGGAAAGGAAAGCCAAGCTAGTGAGCCTACTTGAAAACTGGGTCATTTATTTCTGGGTTATATCTATGTTCATCTTCCATCTCTTCTTTTGTTCACACATAAGCCAACCTCTTTCTTCAAAATCTCTTATTTATGAAAATGAAAGACAAAGAATTTATTTAAATTATAAAAATATATTAAATTAATATAAATTTATTTAAATTGATTAAATTTAAATTTGATATATTTATATCACAAATGCCTCTTTTTAAAATTGTCGTTGGGACAAATTACTGAGAGGAGAACAAACAAATAATTTAGAGACAGAAATTATAAAAAAAGGAAAGGTTTAATAAATGGGCGAGTAGATTTTTTTAATAAAAAAAATAAATCCCAAACAAAGAAAATTTAAAAGACCCTGGATATTTACATAGAAAGACAAGTAATGTTTTCTGGTTGGTTCAATATATAGTAAGTAATGTGTCATTTTGGCTTAGCCAGTGAACTAGAAAATTTGAAATCTGTTGGAAAATATTAGAGATGAAACTACATAAATCAGCTGTGAAAGAAAAACCTTTTAAATTTTGCTATTAAGATAACACAATACTTGAATCTGAACTATGTTATGGAGTTTGTTATTGAAATCTCCTTATTAATTAACGTTCTGCTAGTGTTGTTCCTTTAGTACATCATGAAAAACACTACAATTTTATTTTTATCTTACTCAATAATATTACCACAGTAAGCAATATATACAGTTTATGCTGTTATTGTCCTCTTTTAATTTTTACTTTCATTTAGTGTGAAATGCATGCTTCTTTGTAGAATTGTAGATTTGTAGAATATTCTGCACAGGGTAAGATATTTTCAGGCTGTTATGCAGAAGCCTGGCAATTATGAGCATCTATATTTTTACAAAAATGTTAGATACTCTTGTGACAAATGGTTAGTATTTCCTGAAAATGCAACTCCTTTAAGGTCACCAAATTCACTAGGAAGGGTATAGAATGCTATTGAGAAGCGTTAGTAAAACCTGTGTGTATCCAAAGGACATGATTTAGAGATTAGAGGAGCATAAACAGTGTTCTTAGCCTATGGGATGAAGATGTATCAGCATTTCCGATTCAGTGTATGTATAAGCAATAACATACAGGGAAGTCAGCAGCAACAGGAATAACCAGGAGAGAGACTTAACCTGGGCTCACAGCCAGATCTAGGAACTAGGAAGTACATAGCTGAATTTCCTCCTGCTCATTTGTCAAATACTGTACTGCTGTACAAATACTTTAAACAGAGCTTGCATTGTGTTTTAGTTCTTAGTTACTGAGATGTAACACTTGTGGGTTTGTTGAGGTTGTTGATCAAAATATAGGAAATTATACTTCTATTTGTTTGGAGTGTTTCTGTATCAAGCATGGAATGAGTTTTGGTATCTAGTAAAACTAGTGTTGCTTAAAGGCAAACAGAGTGAAGAGATGAAAGCACAAAAATGTCTGAATAAGCCTTCATTTGATGTGCTTTCTAGACTACAAGCAGTTGTTTTCATTGCAAACTACTCTTTACGAAATCAGTCACCCTCACTGTCTTATCTTTACCTTTCTAGAGTGGTAAAGTAATACACCAATGTTGTATAAGTGAATATTATGACTTGTTGACCTCAATACTATCTTGTTCAGCACAAGGTGACACTAATTATATTACATAATGAATCACCACTATCCGCAACAGACAGTGCCTATGTAAATACTGAAACTATTGCTGATACTGTTAGTACTCAGGAAATTCATTGGTGGCGAACAAATTCTGTCTTCAAGAACTCTCTTACACATTACAGGTCCAATGTTTAAATCATTTCAATTCCAAGAATTGTTTTTGCTTGGGATACCAAGTTCATCTGTATTGTTATTTTACTCAGGATTCTTACCTAGAGTGAAAACTACTGCCTGAGATAGTGATTATAAACCAACAACCGACAAGTTTACATACTTACATCTTCTCCCCATGTCCTTAATGTCCCTAAGAAGTTTCTTTTTCTTTCTTTTCTTTCTTTCTTTCTTTCCTTCCTTCCTTCCTTCTTTCTTTCTTT